GTTAGTTGAATCCACTAATGCAAAACCTATGTATATGAAGAGCCATCTGTACTAGCAAACCACGTTCAATAGCACATTATAAGGATTATACACCATGTTCAAGTGGAACTCAATCCTGGGATGCAAGGATGGTTCAATACACCCACATAAATAAATGCGATATACCACATTCACAGAATGAGGGATAAAAATCATATGATTGGGCTTCCCTGGTGGCTCAGTCGTAAAGAATTTGCCTATTAATGCAGAAGACATAGGTTCAATCCCTGGTCTGGGAAGATCCCACATGCCTGCGGAGCAATTAAGCCCAGGTGCCACAGTTATTGAGCCTGTGCTCCAGAGCCTGGGAACTGCAACTGCTGACCCCACGTGCCGCAACTACTGAAACCCGCGTGCCACAACTGCTGAACCCACGTGCCACAACTACTGAACCCACGTGCCACAACTGCTGAACCCGCGTGCCGCAATTGCTGAACCCGCGTGCCACAACTGCTGAACCCACGTGCCACAACTACTGAACCCACGTGCCACAACTGCTGAACCCGCGTGCCGCAATTGCTGAACCCCACGTTCCGCAACTGCTGAGCCCCGCGTTCCGCAACTACTGAAACCCGCGTGCCACAAGTGCTGAACCCGCGCGCCGCATCTGCTGAACCCGCGCGCCGCATCTGCTGAACCCACGTGCCGCAACTGCTGAACCCGCGCGCCACAACTGCTGAACCCGCGAGCCACAACTGCTGAAACCCGCGTGCCACAACTGCTGAACCCGTGTGCCACAACTGCTGAAACCCGCGCGCCTCAACTGCTGAACCCGAGCGCCTCAACTGCTGAAACCTGCGCGCCACAAGTGCTGAACCCGCGCGCCGCATCTGCTGAACCCGCGCGCCACAACTGCTGAACCCGCGTGCCGCAACTGCTGAACCGCGAGCCCTGGAGCCTGTGCTCTGCAGCAAGAGCAGCCACTGCTATAAGGAGCCTGTGACTGCAACTAGAGAGTGGCCCCTGCTCATCACAACTACAGAAAAGCCCACACAGCAATGAAAACCCAGCATAGTCAATAAATAGATAAATAAAATTATTTAAAAAATCATATGATCATCAGCAAGTGCAGAAAAAGCATTTGACAAAATTCAACACCCTTTCATGATAAAAATACTCAATTAGGTATAGAAGGATTGTGCCTCTATATAATAAAGCCCATGTATGATAAGCCCATGTCTGGCAAGCTACAGTCCATGGGGATGCAAAGAGCTGGATATGACTGCGCACTGACCACATCATAAAATGAACATGATAAGCCCTCAGCTAAAATCATACTCAATGATGAAAAGCTGAAAGCTTTCTCTCCAACATCAAGAACAAGACAAGGGTGTCCATTCTCACCACTTCTATTCAACACAGCATTGGAAGCCTTATAATAATTCAGAAAGAAAATGAAATAAAAATCACTAAAAATTGGAAAGGCAGAGGTAAACTTGTCTCTGTACACATATGACATGATCTTATACATAGAAAATCCTAAAGACTCAACCAAAACATGGTTGAATGATGAATTCTGTAAAGTTGCAGGTTACAAAGTCAACATATAAACATAAGTTGTATATCTATACACTAACAGCAAACTATTTGAAAAAGAAGTTATGAAAGCTATCTCATTTACAATAGCATCAAAAAGAATGGGATGCCCAGGAATAAATTAAACCATGGCTATGAAAGGTCTATACACTGAAAACTATAAAACACTGATGAAAGAAATTGAAGACATCACAAATAATTGGAAAGATATCCTGTGTACAAGGATTGGAAGAATCAATACGGCTCAAATGTCTATACTACCCAAAGCAACCTATAGATTCAGTGTAATCCCTAACAAAATTCCCATGGCACAGTTTACAGAGGTAGAAAAACAATCCTAAAATTCTTATGTGAGCACAGAAGAACCAAAATCCAAAGAGGCCTTGAGAAAGAAGAACAAATTTGGAGGTATAGACTTCCTGATTCAAACTAGATCACAAAGCTTTAGTAATCAAACAGTATAGTGCTGGCAAACAGACACACATATCTGTTTAGAACAAAACAGAAAGTCCAGAAAACAACCCCAGGCATATATAGTCAGCCAGCCTGGTCCAGGAAGATCCCCTGGAGAGGGGAATGGCAACCCACTCCAGTATTCTTGCCTGGAGAATTCCATGGACGGTGGGGCCTGGTGGGCTACAGTCTATGGGGTCACAGAGAGTCGGACATGACTTAGTGACTGAACAACAACAAAAAAACAACAATCATCAACAAAGTTGGCAAGAATGCACAGTGAAGAAAGGACAGCTTCTTTGATAAAAGGTGCTGGGAAAACTGGACAGCCACATGCAAAAGGATGAAATTGGATCCTTATCTCACTAAAATCAGCTCAAAATGGATGAAAGACTTGGATGTAAGACATGATACCTTAAAAGTCCTAGAAGAAAACAGAGAGGAAAACCTCCTTGCTATTGGTCTTGGCGATGACTTTTTGGATGTGACATCAAAAGCACAGGCAACAAAAGCAAAAATAAACAAGCAGGGCTGCATCTAACGAAAAAGCATCTGCACAGCAAAGGAAATGCTTAATAAAGTGAAGAGACAACCACAGAAGGGGGAAAAGAATTTACAAATCCCGCATCTGATAAGGAGTCAATATCCAAACTATACAAGGAACTTACATAACTCAATAGCGAAAAAACAAATAGCCTGATTTTAAAATGGACTTAGGACCTGAAAAAAACATTTTACAAAGATGTACAGATGGCCAACAGGCATGTGAAAAGAAAATGCTCACTAATCGTCAGGAAAGTATACATCAGAACCGCAGTGAGATATCACCTCATACCTGTTAGGATGGCTATCATCCAAAATACAAGAAATAAGTGCTGGTGAGGGTGGAGTGAAAAGGGAACCCTTGTGCACTGTTGATGGGAATGTGAATTGGCGCAAGAGAAAACAGTATGGAAAATGGTATGGCTCAAAAAATTAAAAATAGAACCACCATATGAACCAGTAATTCTACTTCTACATATATATATACATTTATATTCAATGGAAATGAAAGCAGGATTTTGAAGAAATACCTTCACCTCCCGCCCAAGTTCACTGCAGTACCACTCACAAGAGGCAAGACATGGAGAACACCTAAGTGTCCATCAATGGACAAATGGAGCTTCTTTATCCGTTTTATATATGTGTGTTATGTATCTTATATATATGTATTCATATATAAAATATAAACAGTTGTGAGTGAAACATTACTCAGCCATAAAAAGGACATTCTGCCATTTGCCGTCGCCACCCCGGGCCTGGATGAGCCCCGAGGACATCGTGCTCAGTGAGGTGAACCAGACCCTGAAGAAGGATTACTGCACAGTCTCACTTCAATGTGGGGTCTAAAATGTCAACCTCGCAGAGACAGTAGAAAGGGGTTTCCAGGGGCTGGGAGGTGGGGGGAATGGAAAGATGTTGATCAAAGGGTACAAACTTTCCAGCTACGAGCTAAGTTCTGGTCTAAGGCACAGCATGTGGTCACAGTTAACAACTCTGTACTATGCACTTGAAAGCTGCTGAGAGAGCAGATCAAAATGCTCTCACTGCACAAACAAGGTAAGTATGTGAGGTGACAGACATTAATTGGCTTGATCGGGGCATTATTGCACAACACATATGCATATCAAAACACCACTATATGCCTTAACTATAATATATATACAGTGATTATTCATCAGTCAAAACCTAATTAAGATGAAAAACACGCTGAAAGATACAGCCACAGCCCAATGGACACTGTTCCTGATCTTGCATCCTTATACTCCGGAGGTGGAGGGGGTGGGTCATGCGTAAGCAGACACCACACAGTTTGGGGTGCATCATAAAAGGGATGGTCAGAGCAAGTTACCACAAACCACACTGCTTACGGTAGAGAGACAGACTTTCTTATAATTTCCAGAGTCCCGAGTGCAGAGTCCAGGTGCGGTTCTAGGGAAGGGTTTCTCCCGCCTCCTCTGGGCTTGCAGCCGCCTCCCTCCATGCCGTCTCCTCTGGGTGTCTCCTCCTCTTGTGAGCACACGGGTCATTGGATTTGGGGTGTCTGACTGGAGGAGAACTCAGCCGACTGCTGTCAGAGAAGCTCTTGCGTGTATGTGAACTTGGGGAGCAGGGACCACGGAAAGCTCGCCCTGCTGGGAGAGCGGGGCTCCAGTGGTCGCTGTCTGCCTGACTGTTAGGGGGCCTGGCATTTCCTGCCCTCCCCCAAGCTCCTGGACTCCCAGCCCATCCGGAGACTCAGCCCTGCTCTGCCAAAGGTTGCCAGGTCCGAAGCCTGGTTTCTCCCTCAGTGGCCCCTAGGAATGAGTGTTATCTGGGCTGGGCCTGTACTTGGCCCCAGGCACCTGGGCCTTCCTGGACCACATTTCATTTATCCCTCATTCCTCGGGTGACCCAGGTCTGAAACCCACTTGTGGGCGTCAAAATAGTAAATAGCACTTTAGAGTGAGAATCACTTCACCCACACAGACAGTAAGAGAGTGATCTGGACCCAAGTCTCTGGGTGATGGGCTGGGACCCATGGGCTGGGCAGCTCCCCAGCGGAAGCCCCTGGCGGGTCCCCGGGGCTGTCTCCAGCACAAAGAGCACCTGCTGGGCCATGTGAACCGTGAGCCTGGGACCTTTCTGCGGGGGAAGGTGGTGGGGAAGCCAGGACACCACAGTCACCATCTGCTTCAGGCCGTCCTGAGGCCTCGTCCTCTGAGTTCTCCTGACAACAAACCCAAAGCCTTGGGAGGAAGCCAGGTGAGCTGAGGGCAGGAGAGAGGCCTGGCAGAACCACTACCTCTGCCTCCATTTTATAGACGGGATGACTGAGGCCCAGGCAGCAGGTGATGAGCTAATGGGCATCCAGGGCCAGCAGCAGGTGGGACGGTGGTGGCATCGTGCTTGCATTTTCTCCATGCTGTGTCGCTGGGGGCCCCTCAGGACGGTCAGCGCGTGGGGTCTGGGAGGGGCTCTGTGGACAGGCGTGTGTCCCCCTCTCCACTGCGTGCCCTCCCTCGCCCATGAGGGACAGACCGCTGCCCCCCCGACTGATGACAAGGAAACCAGGCCCAGCAAGGTCCCACCCTGTGTCTGAGGTCACGCAGCCATGCGAAGGGCGGGGTGTGTGACGGTCCTATGAGCTGGGACAAATCACCACGTCTGTGGTTAAAACAGCATGTGCTTAATTCTTTGATGGTTCTGGAGTCAGAGCCCAAATCAGGGTCACTGTTGGACGACTGCTGGTCGGGCCGGCTCAGGCTGGTTTCATCTGGAGGCATGGGGAGGGCGGGGGGCTGGCTCCTTGGCCTTCTCCAGGGTCTGTAGGAGCCATGGTTCTCAGATGGTGGCCCCACCTCAGCCCAACCTCTGCTCCCATCGCCAGCTCTCTCCCCTGACCTTCCCCTCCGCAGGACCTTGCAATGACACCAGGGCCCTGGGTCCCTGCCTTCCCAGGCCCCTGGCCGTACGGTCACGCTCCAGGGCTAGAGCCTGGACGTCCTTGGGGCGGTTATTCCACTGACCGGGGTGCCTGAGCTTGGACCTGACTGCCTGCCTCCCAGGTGACCATCTCATGGGGGAAACTGAGGCTCCGGTCGGCCAGGCCAGCCGTCCAGTCGCAGCTGGAGTGGAAGTGGGCTGCCCTGCTTCCCCGGAGTGCTCTTGGCTGAGGTGGGGTACAGGATCGGGGGCTGAGCAAGCCCGCCTGGTCTCTCCAGAGGCTCACGTGCCAAGGAAAGGGGAGGGGTGCGGTGGGGAGAAGGCAGCTGGCGGGAGGCCGCCTCGGCCTCAGCATCACGGGATCAGGTTTAGAGGGGCTGCTGCTGGCCGTCTCCTCTGAAATGTGGAAAGTGTTTTCCCTCCAGTAACTCAAAGCAGCTCTGTGTTTACAGCGTCAGCCCTGACGGGGCGGGGTGTGCGGCGGGAGGGCAGTCTGAACATGGGGTTGCCACAGACAGGCTGGCTGCGTGCTTCCGTGCGGGGTCCCCTGGAGCATGGAGTGGAGTGGGTGTGCGTGTGCTGTGTGTATCGCGTGTGTGCCCCGCTGTATTGCACAGTGCCCGTGCAGCTCTTCTGCGGTGAAACCGGTCCTGTCTCTGGCCTCAGTTTCTTTATCTGTCCAATGGGGATGTGGTCTCTGCCAGTTGTCTGTCTGCCATCGCCCTGCTGGCACAGATGAGGAGGGGGTTGCCAGCTTCTTTTTCCAGCTTGCGAGGAGCTTGCTCCGCCTCTGGCTGGAGCCAGGCTGGCCCGAACCACCGCAGCTCCTGCAGATCTTTCTGAGTGAAGGGATGGAAACTGGGGTCAGAGAGTCCCATGGCCGGAGGTGGGGGTGGCCATGCACATGCTGGGCACGCGCACCCAGGCCTGCGAGGGACGCCCAGGGGCCCGTGCTGCCCCCAGGGACCACGCACCCCCACAGCCCCTGGGGGCTGCTGAGACGGAGTGGAGCTGCCGGGTGAGCTGGGGTCCCAGGGCAGGTAGGGTGGCTTGCACAGGCTGCCCCACATCCACCCAGATCCTGGACCCCAGACAGCACCATCAGGAGGCCGCCTGGGTCCTGTCCATCTGGGGCCTCAGGTGCTGAGGGGCAGGAAGACCCCTCCTGCAGAGCCTCCAGAGGGAGGGCAGCCCTGAGACCCCCGGTTTCAGACTCTGGTCTCCAGACTGGGCAGAGGAGAGTCTTGTTGCTGTCAGCCCCCGCCCCCCACCAGCTGTGGTGCTCTGTAACAGGCTCCAGGACTTGCTCGGTGGTGGGGGGAACCCAAGGGCTGCCGGGTAAATGCTGCTTGGCTCTGCTGCAGGAACAGAAGCGGGCAGCAGACCACCCAGGTTCCTTTAGGCCAGGCTGCTGCAGGCTGCCTCAGGGCAGGTCCCTGGGGGTCCTGAGGGTAAGGGTCTCGCTGGGATATGCATGGGGGCCAGAGGGGCTCCACCTGCTTCCCCTTCGCTCCCTCCTTCCCTGCAGGGCTCCTTCTCGCCTGCCTCCCTACCTTGCCCCCCAAGTCCAGGCAGGACTAGTCCTGTCTCTGCTGGGGACCTGAACTGATCCTCTGGTCCTGGGAGGCCCCGGGGTGGTGCGGGAACTTGGAGAGGGCCCTGGTGGCAGGGAGGGACCTGAGAAGAGCAGGAAGGGATGGAGCAGCCTGGGTGGAGCCCTGGAGGTGAGAGTTGGGTGGGGCGAGATGGCCATCATCTCTTCCGAAAAGTAGGGACTCTGGCTGCCTGGAGGGCTTGTCCTGTGACTTTGAGGTGATCCCGTGAGGGGCCCTGGTTAGGGTCAGGCTGATGAGTGTTTCCCAGAGGGCCCTGCCAGGGCCAAAAGCCGACCCCCTCCCCACCCCCACCCCCCACAGCTCCCGCTCCACCGGAGGCCAGCTCCTCCCGTCTGTGTCCAGAGGTGGCTGGACCAGGGTGGAGAGAGGCATCTGGAGAAATACGCCTGGGACAGAGCCAAGAATTCCCCTCTACGGAGATTCCCATCAGCCGGCACCAACGAAGAGAGTAGAGACGGAATACAAATTCTCTTTCAATACTCTCGGCTGCTAAGTCCAGCCCTTTAGCCAGAAGTCCAAGCGGAGCGCTCACACCACAGCCCACTCCAGAGCTCAGCCACATCCAAGAATCACGGGAAGAGGGGCGTCTGCGCCTCATCCCTCCAGGGCCCTGTGCTGCCAAGTCGACACCGAGATGCCAGATCGGGGAACAGAGCATGACCATCCGCGACGAAGAAGGAACAGGCCGGGCGCACAAAGGTACAGTCAGGATCAGCCCCTAGGCTGCCCCCAGGCTGGCAGGGGCCACTGTGGGTGAAACTGACCCCGGCCGGGGGGGCATCCTGGCCCAGCAACCCTGTGAGAAAGCTCTCTCACAGAATCTGCCTTCTTTCCAGGCCTTGGGGCTTCACCAGTGATCAGAGAGTCCGCGCCAACGTTCCAGTGCAGCCTCTCAGACAAGCACTGTCAGCCACACCACAGTCCAGAGGTCCCTGTGAAGGTGGAGAAGGCTCTGGGGGTGTCCCCACGTGGTCGGCGGAGGGCGGCTCCAGCCTGCCCAGAATCAATCCTGAATTCTGAAATGCTGACCTGGAGGGGTCCTGGGGGCTCTGTCCCAAGTGACCCTTTTACTTTACAAGGGGGAGCCTGAGGCTGGGCAGGGGGTTGGGTGCCCAGGTCGTGTGCGGAGTGACCTCCAAGGGGCCTCACCCAGCTCTCCACATGCCTGCTCACCCTGAGGTAACGGCACCCATGACGTTTAGCCACAGGAGCCAGGCCGGGAGATGAGCTTTTGCGGGAAAGATTCACTCTTTCCTCCCCAGGTACCGTTAGACTTCTCTGTCCTGCGACTGCTGGCCTTGCCCAGTAAATGTGGGTGGAAAAAATGATGCCTGAGTTCTGAGCTCAGGACTCACCCCCGGGAGCTGGTGATCTCAGGCCAAGAGGAGAAAGCCCTGGATGTCCCACTGGACCCAGGAGAATGTGGGACAGACCTCAGCAACCCCACGGCCTGGAACAGGGGCTGCAGAGCTCAGACCAGACCACACATGTCCAGTCTTGCTCACTGCTCCAAGGGGCTGTGGTTATTGTCACACCCATAACTGACAGATAAATCTTGAAATCTGGTAAACACCAAGGGACGACAGAATAGGGTGGAGAATACCTGCAGGGTGCTTTCTGGGTACCAGGCTCTTAAAAGGATGATCTTGTTTTAGCTTCTTCATAATGCTACAGCTGGGAGAGCGATTTGTCCCACTTTGAGACAGGCTCAGATTGGTAGGTTGACCAGCTGGAGGCCACACTGTGGTGGCCCTGGGTCTGAACTCATGTCTGTGTCTCCAAAATGCAGGTGTTCTGCCTTTACATCTGCACTGTCTGACACAGTAACCACCAGCTGCCTGTGGGTACTGAAACCTAATGACTTCAATTAGATAATGACAAATTCAGGTCTCACTCACACTTGCCACCTTCCGGGTGCTCCAAGGCCACATGCAGCTGGTGGCTGTCATCGGGGACAGTGTGGACACAGCACGTTCACGGTGTCCAGGGGTCTCTGCCGGTCAGGCCCCCGGCGACAGACTCAGGCTTGGCAGATGGCTCGCTGCCACCTCTGCCTCCACCATCAGTTTGCTCTGTGAGTGGATGAGAGGCCTCCAATGGCTGCTGGGTGGACGGCGCATCCACACCACCCACGGAGCAGGGCTGACTGCACATGGATGAGACCTCATGGGCGCCCTCGCTTAGCTGAGGAAACTGCAAGGGGCTGGAGGCAGTCACCCCAGACTATCTGATCATCTCAGGTCCTTTGTCACCAGGGGGCGGGCAGCTCAGTTTATCCACTGGTGACTGAGCCTCTTGCCACCAGGCCCCGGGTCAGTGGCGCCCAGGTAGTTCTCCTTGCTGGGCGCTGGGAGCGAGGGTGGGGGTCGTGCTGCCTGGGGGTTAGACCCAGCCCAAGTCTGTGAGGCCCCAGGTGGGGAGGCTGCACCTCTGTGGGTCACTCAGCACCGAGCAAAGACAGGGTCCCCAGTTGCCACCAGCATGGGGCCGCCCCAGAGGGGGACAGCTGCCAGTGGTGGCAGGGTTCACTGGTCCCGACAGAGGCCAGCAGGGCGGGTCTGCCCGTGGGCATGCTGACCCTGGGAGGAGGGAGGGAGGTGAGGGGTGTGCCCTGCACAGGCACCAGCAGGCAGTAAGCACCCCATAAACAGGGGTGAAGACAGCTACAGAAAATAGCCCCCAGCCTGCTGCGTACAGCCTGTGAGTGAGGAGCAGCTTTTATGCTTTTTAAGGTTCATAAAATAGAAGTGACAGAGACCATATGTGGCCTGCTGAGCCTGAGAAACTTACTGCCAGCCCTTCCCAGGGAGAGTCTGAGGCCCTGGGCTCAGCCCCACGGGAGGGGCTCTGGGTGGGCAGGGGCCTGCACAGGTGCTCCCTGACTGGACAGCAGTCACCACCTGCCCAGACCTCTGGCCTCCCTGGAGGGTCCACCCCACCACCCAGGCCCCTGGCCTCCCTGGAGGGTCTACCCTACCACCCAGGCCCCTGGTCTCCCTGGAGTGTCCACCTTCCCCACCCAGGCCCCTGGCCTCCCTGTGGGCTCACTGCCCACCCCCTCCACCCAGGCCCCTGGTCTCCCTGGAGGGTCCACCCTACCACCCAGGCCCCTGGTCTCCCTGGAGTGTCCACCTTCCCCACCCAGGCCCCTGGCCTCCCTGTGGGCTCACTGCCCACCCCCTCCACCCAGGCCCCTGGTCTCCCTGGAGTGTCCACCTCCCCCACCCAGGCCCCTGGTCTCCCTGGAGGGCCCACCTCCCCCACCCAGGCCCCTGGTCTCCCTGGAGGGCCCACCTCCCCCACCCAGGCCCCTGGTCTCCCTGGAGGGCCCACCTCCCCCACCCAGGCCCCTGGTCTCCCTGGAGGGCCCACCTTCCCCACCCAGGCCCCTGGCCTCCCTGGAGGGTCCACCCCACCACCCAGGCCCCTGGCCTCCCTGGAGTGTCCACCCTACCACCCAGGCCCCTGGTCTCCCTGGAGTGTCCACCTTCCCCACCCAGGCCCCTGGCCTCCCTGTGGGCTCACTGCCCACCCCCTCCACCCAGGCCCCTGGCCTCCCTGGAGTGTCCACCTCCCCCACCCAGGCCCCTGGTCTCCCTGGAGGGCCCACCTCCCCCACCCAGGCCCCTGGCCTCCCTGGAGTGTCCACCTTCCCCACCCAGGCCCCTGGCCTCCCTGGAGGGCCCACCTCCCCCACCCAGGCCCCTGGCCTCCCTGGAGTGTCCACCTTCCCCCACCCAGGCCCCTGGCCTCCCTGGAGTGTCCACCTTCCCCACCCAGGCCCCTGGCCTCCCTGGAGTGTCCACCTTCCCCACCCAGGCCCCTGGCCTCCCTGGAGTGTCCACCTTCCCCACCCAGGCCCCTGGCCTCCCTAGAAGGTCCACCCTCCCCCCCATCCAGCCCCTGACCTCCCTGGAGGGCCCACCTACACCAGCACAGAGGCCATGCCTATTTCAATTCTGACTTGCCTCTTCCTCTGGCCCTGTGGGTCTCACATGGTCACAGGTGTAGGACAGATGATGGGAGAAAAGTCTCCTGGGAGACGGGACCCCAGTGTACCCTGAGATAGCCTTTCTCTACCAAGTGGCTGTCTTGTCACCAGAGACACCAGCATCATTGGCACCAGGGCTGCCAGACCTCACTTCCTGCCAGGACAGACGTTGCCAGTAAGTCACAGAGCGCCTTCCCCTCAGCAGCAGCCACACCACTCGTGAGGCCTCCTT